CAGCTTCAAAAGGCAGTTCTTTCACATTGTGTCATGTGAAATGAAGCACACACGAAGGGCCAGACTCATTCTCAGTGAAGTCAGCAGAAAGACTCTCATATTTCAATGGTGTTAATCAGGCCCTGATCCTGTAATGGGATCCATACACACAAACACTTAAGTTTGAGCAGGGTCCCAGTGGAACTCCACATGGACATAAGGGATCATGTTGTGGGATCAGTGTCTAAGATGCAAACACTGATTTCCCATAAAAATATAGGGCATAAATTTACAAATGTGGGCACCTAAAATTAGGCACCTAAATTTACATTTATGCTCATGTATAAGTGGCCTGATCTTCAAAGATGCTAAGCACCTGCATAGCCCATTGTCCTCAAGTAAGGGTGTATTTTTTGCTAACATAGCAGACATCTCTGTGCTAAGGCCAGAATTTTCTGAAATAATTTAGATTTGTTTTATAACAAGAGATGATTTCCTGCATTCATCCGTTACATAACTGTTCTGCAGGATGTTTATTTCTGGGTTTGATCAGAAGAGATCTCTTTTATGCATCCCAAGGAGTCATCATTCTGCCTATCCTAATCTTAATTTAAAAAAATTCTCTGGCTGTCACTTACACTAGAGACGCTTCCTATCCTGCCACAGTCTCTCCTTTGCACATGAAAATAGAAGTTGCTTATGCATTATTGCTGCCAAGAAGCACATCTTGAATTAAACAATAAGACATGACGGGATGTATATCCTATGCAAAAAAATTGAACATGCACATTTTAAAATGAATTGCATCTATTATTGTTATAATGACGTAACCTCACTGGTTTCCTAATGAATATAAATTATCTGTAATATAACTGGAAATGACCTAATACTGTAGAGGAAGAAATCATTCGATATGTTTCTTTCTTAAAAATATTTGACATGAGACTGCCGTCAGGAGGCATTCAGTGTTGAAACTAAGAGCAGTGCATTTAAAAAGAAATGTTTGTATTCCATACATGATAAACCTCTGGAACTCAGTGTTACTAGATAGCACTGAGGGCAATATCTTAGTAGAATTCAGAAACAGGATTAGACATTTCTACAGAACACCCGCAGTTACAAAGATTTTTTTTTAATTAGATGGGGGTATAAACCCTCACATTTCAGGGCATATACCAACCACTAACTGCTGGGGACTAGGAAGAAACATCCCATATTGGCAGGTTATTCTATAACAGTCCACTACAGGTTTCTTGCAGCCTCCTGTGAAGCAGCGGCACTGGCCAAAGTCAGATACTGGACTAGATGGATGATTAGTCTGATATGATTTGACAATTCCTATGTTCTGAATATGCATATATGCCATAAAACACTGAAGTGTTTATGTGTAAAGGGTCACAGTCTGAAGATTTTTTCATATGCACGTATTTTCTACACAGCTTACTGGGTGCACTGTCTCCTTTATATTCTATCCAAAAATATACTTTCTTCTATAGGGGTAGGCAGGGGCGTATACACTGTCATGTAGGAAGGAGTGATAGAACTGTGTATTATGAACACAGATTTGTTTGCACAAGCAAACTTTTATTTTCAACTGCATATGCATCTCCGCATCCCTGGGTGATCTTTCAGCAGGACTCTAATGGAGCACAGACCGCCAGTTTAAAGCTGCCCTCACTTGGAGAGTCCCTGGGATAGCTGGCAGTGCAATGCTACTGCCTGCCATTCCCTTGGGGTGAATCTTTCTTGGATGAAGCAGGCATAGGTTGGGGCAGTTTGCCTCCCACGCCATGATAGCAGGGGTGAATTGGGCCCTATATCTCTTAGGCCTCCCAAGGGGCCTTTTTTTTTTGGTCAATGTTTCTCCCATAGCGCTTGAGGTTAACAGTTTGAAATCCTACTTTGAAATCCTAACCACAAACTCTGATTAAATACAGTATACTCATTCCTTTCCCGATCATCTGCAGAGTATTCGGCCTGAATGCTAAATGTGTTGGTTGAGTGTCTAAGGGCGATTATAAAACAATGACCCTCCGCCCAACAACCAGTTCTATAAACTATTTAAAATGCAATGCAGTGCTTCTCTCTCGCAGCAGGTGGCAATGCAAAATGCTACATAGTAGCAATAAGAGAGCAACATTCCAGAAAATGCACTTTAAAGCTCCTGGAGTTAAATTATATGTGCCTCCCATTTTGTAAACCTCCTGTGGCTCTGCACTGAAATCGCAAGGACTTGTTTTGAATGCTGGTGTGCATAAAAGATCATTGACAGTTCCTTCCAAATGGAGCTCTCTGATAGAAACAGTATCATGCAGATAGGGTGCAAATGTCCCTGCAAAATTATCTGATAGATGAGAGAATGATCCAGTGCTGTGAAAATTGTTACTCAGGTGGAATTAGTGACCTAAGGTCATTTAAACTTTCTGTGCCCACCAAAAGGGTCCATGATCTTTTCTGGAGAGGCCTGAGCTCTGATTCCAACCTTACTAGCACCAGTGTAGATCAGGAGTAACCCACCGAAATAATCAGTGGTGTTACACTGTGTAAACTTGTTATAAACAAGATTGGAATCAGGCCCCAGAACCTACTTAATCTGCGTCCCAGATTCCCAGCACTGTTCTAACGGGGTATACAATAAATCACATTGACTTGAGAAACGTACCTGTACCTATCCAGATACATCTAAACCATAATTTTTGTTTTTCATTGCAGTGTAATTCTAGTTTGTTTGCAACAGTTGCAATCCACAAGAACAGTACGCAGCACTGGGAATGAAATGCCACAATGAGGAAAATTCAATTATTTATTGGTGCAAGAGCTATGGATCCCATCCAGGGAAAAATGTACATGGCTGGCCAGGGTGTGCAACTCAAAGGAATTGTAGTAAATAATATATTTGAAAAAAACACAAAGATACTCTTTGGGGGGAAGAAAGAGGCTTAATTCAGCCAATAAAATATTTGTATAATACTAACAATTGCACTTGCCATCTGATGCTTTGATGGTCTTTGTAGTAAAAGACAAGACACAGCCACAGATAGCTACTCTAAGGCCTGATCTGACACCCATTGAAGTCTTGAGAGCTATGCTGATTTAGGACTGGGGCCAGTGAGTGTTTTGCATGATTTAACTGTGAGATGAATGAAGTCCCTACACAGCAGCCTCTGCATAAGGGCTGGATAGAAGTGAAATATTTTGTTTATGCTTTATTCATATTGAGGGATGGACAGAGACTGGGTCCCTCTGTTTAATTTTCCCTTTTCTTTGTTCTGATCAATATTATTGTCTAGCATGACTAGTTTGTTATGTACCTTGGGTTTGAGTCTGTGCTGTCCTGGCATTCTGATCTGGTAGCATTTTGCACTGGTGAAAATTATACCATAATGTGCAGGACAAAGTCCCTTGAGTTTATCTAAAACATTCACAGGTTCTAGCCCTATACAGGTAAACCTTTCTCTTACCTACTCCTAAGGTCTAATCCTGCAAACTCTTACTCACCAGAGTACTGGATAGGTACATTTTAAAAAATCCTACTAAATTTTAAAAAATAGCCACAAACTTTGCAAAGTATTTACACTGACGAGGGGTATGCAGGATTGGATCTATAAAGAAGACATTTTTTTCCCCACCAGAAGAAATATTCTGCAGAATGTAGTGCAGAGTAACTACAGAAATCTATAATGGAAAAAGTGGGTAAAAGATTGCTGCAAACCTTTTGTCATCTTGGCAAAGTTTGTTACAGTTCTACACTGAGTTCTTGTTGTCAGAGCAACAAGCAAGACTTCTCTTCTCTGGGAAGCAAGACTTCTCTTATCACACGTTGAAGTAGTGGTTTAAGTGAGAAGAGATATCATACTTCTATTGTTATGACAGTATGTAGACACCAATGTCTGCTACCATTCACTCAAAAACATCTCTTCGGTAGAAATGGCTTATTGTTTTATCAGTTTTGATATGAGACACCATCCACAGTCTTTACTCTCGTAGAAGATTGTTACTGAGATTACTGAACTATTGATGTCAATTGTTATGAAAGTGGATATTTTTGGCAAACAGGCCACGAAACTTCTTTTTTAGTGATCTGTCAAATTTTTAAAAAGTAACACTGCATTGATTATTCATAGTGTTATACATGTGCCAGCTATATTCAGCTTAGATAGACATTTTACAAAATATAGGCTGTTTTTTTTATTTCAATGGATTACTAGTGAAAGTCACTATTTATATATATATATATATATATATATATATATATATATATATATATATATAT